CAAGTTCAGTGCGCTCTTTGAGAGCTCTTCATGTTGGCGGTATGGCGCTTCAATGGTGGTGGTTTCCCGTCTCGAGTGGGTTGCACACATCAGGCTGCACTACCCCCTGTTTGTGTTGTAGGCGGCCATCTCCCCTGTGCACTTCAGCATGCTAAAAGAGCTTTTTGCCTAAAAGAGCATTCACGGGTGCGTCTTTTAAAAGACGATGTTGTGTGGCAAACTCGACATTACGTCTTTGTAAAGACGATGTGGGTCTTGCTATAGACAACATATCACCTGGGCGTTTCTGGATGTGGTCGCTACCTAGCGCTGGGTGATGGTCACTGGGCATTTAGCACGCTGAGGTGGCATTTGCGGATGAGTCATGTTCTCATTGCGGGAAGATGATCATCTCGGAATTGTGGGCCAAGCTCCGTTTCCTCAAAGGGGCGGAGCTCTGTTGCCTCTGCCTCGATCTAGTTCTCGTCATGGCGGCAGACAGGTGGGGGCTACTTCAGGCAGTAGCACGGGCAGTCTGAGGGTAACAGTGATGGCGAACCCCCCAGGGAACCAACCCTTGGGGGACCATCACTCCTCTTGCACTCCGCAACCAGTTGAGCTGCCAATGGAACGTGCTGGGCCCTCTACAAGGAGCGTACCAGCAGTATCCGTTGGCGCTCCTCCCGACGACCGGTTGTCGATCGCTGCATCGGAGGGTGAGCCGGAGCTTTCTGGAGAGGAAGATTCGGCTGTGCTGCTGTCCTCCGGGACTGTAGCAATGCCTGAATTGGACCCGGAAATAATGGCTATGCTTTCTCGGGCTGCCGTGAGGGTAGGGCTTGAGTGGAGACCTCCACCGTGTCCCGAGCCCTCAAGGCTGGACGATTGATTCTTCGGGGTGGTCCGCGCTGGTTTCTCAGCGCCCGCCCCGGTGCCATTCTTCCCGGAGGTGCCGAGGGAACAATCGGCATGGAAGCACTGGCACACAGCTGGCTGCGGGGCCTTCGCAAGTATGCATTTCCCCAGTGAGCTTTCTTGCACAGACACTGTGCAAGATCAGGGAGGACGAGGCCCCACCTTACTGGCCCACTCGGACTTGGTTCCCAGAACTCATGCTCCTTGTGACAGCCCCTTCTTGGCAGATTCCTCTGAGGAAGGATCTACTGACTCAGAGATGGGGCACCCTGTGGTACCCGCATCCAGACCTCTGGAAACTTCATGTCTGGTCCCTGAATGGGACGAGGAGGTTCTAGGTGAGCTACCCCAAGAGGTAGTTGACACCATCACTTCGGTGAGAGCACTGTCTACGAGACACACTTACGCCTTGAAGTGAAACCTGTTCGTCGAGTGGTGTTCTTCTCACCGAGAAGACCTCCGGAAATGATTACCCCCTATTGCTGCCAACCACGACCCCGTGGAAGGGAAGTCGGTGGGGAAGCATGACATGATTATCAGGTTCTCCTAGAGTTTGGGCCGGCTGACTCCCAGGTAATCCTGAGGCCCCGGCCTATGTGCACAAGGTTCCCACTACTCACTTCAGGGATCAGGTGGTGAGCCTGCAAGCGCTGCCCCCAGAGGAGGCAGACCCAGCCCTAGCTTTGCTTTGTCCTGTCCGAGCATTGAGATGCTACGTAGACAGGATGCAAAGCTTCAGGACCTAAGACCAGCTTTTTGTCTGTCGGTGGCCGGCAGAAGGGGAATGCCATCTCTAAGCAGAGGATGGCCCACTGGATAGTGGATGCCATCACCCTGGCTTATCAGGCACAGGGTGTGCCCTGCCCGTTCAGGTTGCGAGCTCACTCTATTAGAAGTGTTGCATCCTCCTGGGCACTGGCTCCTGCGCGCTGGATATTTGTAGAACTGCGGGCTGGGCGACCCCCAACACGTTCGCTAGATTCTATAGCCTTCGTGTGGACCTGGTATCCTCCTGTGTTCTCACCTCAAATGGGCAGAAGCACTGAGAGGTCCCGGCTTCGGGTCGGCTTGGTAAGACTGCTTCAGAGAGTCCATATCGTAGACCCTGTCGAGCTCCTCCGTACCCTCGGCAGCCAGACGTGGCGGACCGTCCGGCGCCAGGCCCTCACTCAATGAATCCGTGAGAACCGGTAGAGGGCTGAGTTCCATATGTAGAGACCAAAGTGGATCCCATATGTGTAAAATCCACGGTATAGCCTCAGAGCCCGTGTTTCCCCGGCAGACTTTCTGCTATTTTCCAAGAGGGTTACAATCACCTCTAATCTTCCATATGCTCCTAGACGGTTGTTCATATGTGTAAGTGCTTCCAAAACCTCCTTCGGGAAGGATGGGTTTCCGCAACATTCCGGTTCCAAGTGGAACGGGCATGTTTTCCCAGTGTTATCCAGTCTTACTGAGTGGGTAGTGCCATGGCAGCAGTAACTGGTCTTCTTGTGGTAAGCCCCGGCCTACGCCAAAAAGAAGGGGTGCAGGTGTCTTCCACAGGACACTGGAAGGGCCACTTTGGTAGGGATCCCAATTCGTTGGTCACCGACGTGACGTCGGGAGTGACCGACTGAAAGAGAATGTCTCCATAGTGTATGTTACCCTCGTTCCCTGAAGGAGGGAATGGAGACGTCACGTCCCGTCGCCACGGCTGCTGTACCACCGCTGAGCGGCCGAGTCACCGGCTTGGCTCCTCAGCAAAAACTTGAATATGCGCTGCACCTGCTGCCTACTTATACCCACGCTGTGATCAGCGGCAGCTGGATGCAGTGCAGAGGCGCTGTGCGAACATCATGTTACTGTAGTTCTAGACTAAAATGTGAACATGCATTTACTCGTCTCACCTGCACAAAAACAGATTCAGTATTCTTGAAAATGAATAAAAACAGTCAAATGCAAACTCAGAGTATTATACAAACCTGCAATAATTAAATATGTTAAATAAGACAAATATCATTTATGTATTTAATCCCATTTTATTAACGAATGTCTTTGCTACTGACCTTCGATTATTCAATTCAACCATACTAATAAACAAAAATGACACATTTGTTTCATTTTTGTTATTGCTGAATACTGTTGAACTTTCTTCTCCTGTCATATTCTCCATGCAATTTATTTGAGATGCACCCTCTACTGTACAGATGTGAATTTACATTTCCTTCAACCTGAGGCATATTCATTTTACTTTTGGTATGAAAGGGCTTTTACATTTGTAAAAGAATAACTTTTTTATATTAAAAATAAGCAAGCAAGCCCTGCCTAGATTTTAAAAGTAACTCAAAAGTAATGTAACACATTACTTTCCATTAAAAGTAACTAAAGTAATTAGTTACTTTTTTTAGGGAGTATCGCAATATTGTAATGCATTACTTTTAAAAGTAACTTTCCCCAACACTGTTTGCTGAATATTAAATCCTACAATATTACAACTATATGCAGTAAAAGTGGCTGATAACAGTTGTGAAAACTCTGATGTATCATCTGTATCCTCCAGTGGATGACAAGGCATGTAGAAACATTACAAGTATTTTTTGAATAAAATGTTGACAGACATGTTTTTCCCCCAGAGTCAGTTTCAGTGGTACTGCTGCTTGTGTTAACACACTGCACGATTTCCGGCTGTCCCAGACGAAAGATTGGCATCGTGAAACAATCGTGGTGATTTCTGTGATCATGGCTCCTAATCAGTGGTTCTATGTCATACAGTGAGAGAGGTTCAAAGACGGCCATTGTCACGGTCTTGCAACCAAAGATAGCCTTCGATACAGCATGATTATCGCACAGTGTGTTTGGCAGAACCTGATTTTACCAAGTGCAACATGTTCCTGGATCAACATCTTTGTTGACCCTGGAACAACATTGTGATTTGAAGAACCAGTTTATAGTTTTTGCGAAGTTTAGGCTTACAATCAGTGTTTGGTGCTTGTACATCAGTGTCATTCATCTATCATTTCCTCTCATTTTAGGGATTACTCATGGTTAAGCTTAGGTTTAGGTGTAGGGATATGGTCAAGACTACATTTTTGGATTAAAATGTTGTTCCAGGTCGGCGCCGATAGCCTACTGGTTAGTGTGCCAACATATAGCATAACTGTGCTCACGGCGACTCGAGTTCGATTCCCATCTTGAGGTCCTTTGCCGATCCCTCCCCCCTCTTCCCACCCAATATGTTCCTGTCTGCTCTCAACTGTCCTATCTAATAAAAAAGGCAGAAAAGCTCCCCCACCCCCTTGGTAACTTGGTAAAATCAGGATGTGCGTGTGTTTGCTGATATGATCCACGTTTACTGACCAACAAATAAAATTGCGACATGGCGCATGACTACAACATAAAACTGCTTACCTTAAATCGTGCAGTGTGTTTTCGGCTTTAGAAAAATCAACCATAAAGTCAAAGTGAGGCATTTCATGTCTCATGATCAATGTCATATGATTTGTCAGTTCAACACTGTAGACTTTAAAAAAGGACACATCTTATCTAAAATAATTGTCTTTCATTAAGAAAACTTTTATAGTCACCAATACTAGATCACACATACATTACAAAGCAATGCATCCTTACCCTTACTTAAATTCTTTTTAATCTTTTAAAATAAGTCAAATAAAAAAAATTTAATATTAAAAAAATCCTTTTATTTTTTAATCATGAACACCACATTTATTAATGGTTTTCTTAATAGAGGGCCTGATCAGCTTAGTAGAATTTCAGTATTACACATACAATATACTGTAAAAGTTGCTTACATTGTTTTAAACAAATGGAATAAAACTAATGTTGTGTTGTACAGCCCTATATAACCATTATTCCTATTCTTTTTATTTTGTGTCTTGTTTATTTGTTTAATTTGAAAGTAAAAAGTTTGAAAATAAGTGTTAAACTTAACTTAATTATATATATATATATATACTTCTAAGCATTCTTTGCACTTGGACCAAAACTTATATGTTCCAAAACATTCCTTCTGAGGTGGAGACGGAAACATGACAATGTTTGTCCAATAGAAGAGGCTTGACTAGCAGGAGCATATAAATTCAAGTAGGTTTAGTCATCAAACCAGACTCACATATCAACCACATCAAGTGTAACAGCAGGTAATGACTTTATATTGCTAAAATTCCTGTGATTGTCTTTTATCATCTTTATGTGCTTAGGTATATGTGAAAACACTGATCACAGTTAAATACATTTTCTGTCAATATATAATGCAGTTAGATGATGGAAACTACTATCTAAAGTAAAATATTTACTGTTTCATGAGTGAATACCTCATCTATTTTGTTCCTTTTAGATTACTGGTGTGTGCTGAACAGCAACTTTTTACAAAATGTTGCATCTTATTCTGGTTCTCTCTGGAGTTACAGTGGGCATGGCCATGCGTAAGTATTGCTCACCACAACGTGGTACATTATCAAACATGCAAAACAATGTTGCAAATAAATGACTGTTGGAAAATTGAAAATGAAATTAAATTTACTATTGAAAGGTTTATTTTAAAATAGAGCTGTTATTTCCTCTTTTAGCTTTACTGGATTACTACTCATACTCCACGGCTGTTGGGGACGGCAGTGGGACTGAATATTCCACTGCGTATGATGGTCGCATCACTGGTATCAGAGTCTGGGAACACAGTAACGCGTATATTCGTGGGTAAGTTAACCAGTTCACCACTGATCATTCCTCTGGACCAACAGAGTGAAAAAAGTGAATATGATACGCTTTAAAATATTCTTGTGGCTTGATCTTGAAAAGTCATTTGCATTTTGTGTTCTAATTCTTCTGCATGTTATTCTGTGACCATCTTTTCAAACACTTTCATCAAATATCTGTTCAGAATCCAGCTGCGTTATGATGGTAACTGGACAACACCGGTTTGTACAAGCAATGGCAATCCACTGGAGATGTCATTTCGTGACAATGAATCCATCATTCAGGTTTCTGGAAAACATTACAGTGGCTACATCTATGAGCTTATGTTTGTCACTAGTCGAGGCCGCTCTTTAAAAGTGGGGCAGCCTTATGGAAACTCATTTAACTTCTACCCGACCAATGATGGAAGTGAGCTACGTTTTCTCAGTGGTCGACAGAATGGAAATGGCATCACCTCCATTGGGGCTCACTGGGCTGTCTACTACACCGGTGACAACAGTGCAGCTTAAGATCATATTAGTTCAGTTCAACCCCCTTTACTTTCTTTCTGCCAGCATTAAAGAAACAGCTACACAAACTTGTTTTATCTGTTCTGATTTTTTTTTTATAGACAAGCTCCTCATGGTTATTACTTAAATAAATGCTATGTTTTTTTATTTTTTTTTATTGTTTTAGCCTATTTTATGTTTCAAACTTTCAGAATTTTCCACTGCATGAACGTACTATATGATCAATATTATATTAATTATCTAACTTTTTTATAATTTACTTTCCTTAAAATTAACAAATTTCAACACTTTTGTCTTTTGTTATATGAAGATCATATTAAAAACTTGGCAACATTTTACCCTGCTTTCATCATTTATTTATTCTACTTCTCAAATGCCTTATATGTATAGATTTTATTATGTTGTTCAGATTCTTTAATGATGTTTATGTTGATGTAAACAAACTTCTCAAGGAGTGACATAAACAAATAAAACATAAACCTTTTTTTGTGAAAATTACTCAAATTACAACTGTCCCAAAGTTGTGCTGTCATTTTCGTAACATCAAGCTTGTTTAGTGCACTTGTTTACAAAAGAGGAAACAGTGTCACAGTTGTCATTATTTTCTCACCATCATGTTGTTCCAAACCTGTATATTAGGTTAAACACAAAATAATATATTTTGAAGACTTTTGAGGAACCAAGCAGTTTTTGCACCCCATTGACTGTCATAGTAGGAAAAGAAATAGTATGGAAGTCAATGGGGACCATCAGCTGTTTGATTACCAGCATTCTTCAAAATATCTTCTTTTATGTTCAACATAAGAAAGAAACTCAACTTTGATTTTGGAAACTCTCCAGTACACAGAGAGTATAAAGAGAGGATAACTAAAACACTGAACTCCTGGAAATGTTGACTTTGGGTACAGTGATAAAATGAAACATCGCATAAACCTCAGTGATGAGACTCCATTTAAGCACAGAGTAAGACTCTCAAGATATAGAAGCATGCGTGTCCATCTCCAACAACTTCTTGATTCAGAAGTCATCCACAAATCTGAATCCCCTTTCTCTTCACCGATTGTAGTCATCAGAAAAAAGAATGGAGAAGTTAGACTCTGCATAATCTACAGAAAACTAACCTTCAAATAGTAAAGGATTGTTTCCAAGAATAGGCCTACATAATGTTAAACAAGACTTCACTTTAAACCTTAAAAAAATCCGTGAGAACCGGTAGAGGGCTGAGTTACATATGTAGAGACCTAAGTGGATCCCATATGTGTAAAATCCACGGTATAGCCTCAGAGCCCGTGTTTCCCCGGCAGACTTTCTGCTATTTTCCAAGTGGGTTACAATCACTCCGGTTCCAAGTGGAACGGGCACGTTTTCCCAGTGTTATCCAGTCTTACTGAGTGGGTGCCATGGCAGCAGTAACTGGTCTTCTTGTGGTAAGCCCCGGCCTACGCCAAAAAGAAGGGGTGCAGGTGGCTTCCACAGGACACTGGAAGGGGCAGTATCCATGGCACTTTGGTAGGGATCCCAATTCGTTGGTCACCGACGTGACGTCTCCGTTCCCTCCTTCAGGGAATGAGGGTTACATACGTAACCGAGACGTTAAATAATCAGATTACTTTTTTAAGTAACTAGTAAAGTTGCGCATTACTTTTTAATTTAGAAGGAAATATCTGAGTTTCTTTTTCAAATAAGTAACTCCAGTTACTTTGTTTCCCATGTATTGACTGACAGCTCTTGTGTTGCCATGTTGAGAGAAATCGGGAGTAAGTGCAGAGGCGCTGTGCGAACATCATGTTACTGTAGTTCTAGACTAAAATGTGAACATGCATTTACTCGTCTCACCTGCACAAAAACATCTTCAAAATCTTCAAAATGAATAAAAACAGTCAAATGCAAACTCAGAGTATTATACAAACCTGCAATAATTAAATATGTTAAATAAGACAAATATCATTTATGTATTTAATCCCATTTTATTAACGAATGTCTTTGCTACTGACCTTCGATTATCCAATTCAACCATACTAATAAACAAAAATGACACATTTGTTTCATTTTTGTTATTGCTGAATACTGCTGAACTTTCTTCTCCTGTCATATTCTCCATGCAATTTATTTGAGATGCACCCTCTACTGTACAGATGTGAATTTACATTTCCTTCAACCTGAGGCATATTCATTTTACTTTAGGTATGAAAGGGCTTTTACATTTGCAAAAGAATAACTTTTTTATATTAAAAATAAGCAAGCAAGCCCTGCCTAGATTTAAAAAGTAACTCAAAAGTAATGTAACGCATTACTTTCCATTAAAAGTAACTAACGTAATAGGGAGTAACGCAATATTGTAATGCATTACCTTTAAAAGTAACTTTCCCCAACACTGTTTGCTGAATATTAAATCCTACAATATTACAACTATATGCAGTAAAAGTTGCTGATAACAGTTGTGAAAACTCTGATGTATCATCTGTATCCTCCAGTGGATGACAAGGCATGTAGAAACATTACAAGTATTTTTTGAATAAAATGTTGACAGACATGGTTTTCCCCCAGAGTCAGTTTCAGTGGTACTGCTGCTTGTGTTAAGCCCTAAACACACTGCAAGATTTCCGGCTGTCCCAGACGAAAGATTGTCATCGTGAAACAATCGTGGCGATTTCTGTGATCATGGCTCCTAATCAGTGGTCCTGTGTCATACAGTGAGAGAGATTCAAAGACGGCCGTTGTCACGGTCTTGCGACCAAAGATAGCCTTCGATACAGAATGATCATCGCACAGTGTGTTTGGCAGAACCTGATTTTACCAAGTGCAACATGTTCCTGGATCAACATCTTTGTTGACCCTGGAACAACATTGTGATTTGAAGAACCAGTTTATAGTTTTTGCGAAGTTTAGGCTTACAATCAGTGTTTGGTGCTTGTACATCAGTGTCATTCATCTATCATTTCCTCTCATTTTAGGGATTACTCATGGTTAAGCTTAGGTTTAGGTGTAGGGATATGGTCAAGACTACATTTTTGGATTAAAATGTTGCTCCAGGGCGGCGCCGATAGCCTAGTGGTTAGTGCGCCAACATATAGCATAACTGTGCTCACGGCGACCCAAGTTCGATTCCCGTCTTGAGGTCCTTTGCCGATCCCTACCCCCTCTTCCCACCCAATATGTTCCTGTCTGCTCTCAACTGTCCTATCTAATAAAAAAGGCAGAAAAGCTCCCCCACCCCCTTGGTAACTTGGTAAAATCAGGATGTGCGTGTGTTTGCTGATATGATCCACGTTTACTGACCAACAAATAAAATTGCGACATGGCGCATGACTACAACATAAAACTGCTTACCTTAAATCGTGCAGTGTGTTTTCGGGAACAAAAGAAATGTTGTTCCAGGGTCAACAAAATATGTTCACCTAGGAACACATCTAACGTAAAATCAGGATGTGCGTGTGTTTGCTGATACGATCCACGTCTACTGACCAACAAATAAAATTGCGACATAGCGCATGACTACAACATAAAACTGCTTACCTTAACTGCTTAACTGCTTACAAAGTGAGGCATTTCATGTCTCATGATCAATGTTATATGATTTGTCAGTTCAACACTGTAGACTTTAAAAAAGGACACATCTTATCTAAAATATTTGTCTTTCATTAAGAAAACTTTTATAGTCACCAATACTAGATCACACATACATTACAAAGCAATGCATCCTTACCCTTACTTAAATTCTTTTTAATCTTTTAAAATAAGTCAAATAAAAAAAATTTAATATTAAAAAAATCCTTTTATTTTTTAATCATGAACACCACATTTATTAATGGTTTTCTTAATAGAGGGCCTGATCAGCTTAGTAGAATTTCAGTATTACACATACAATATACTGTAAAAGTTGCTTACATTGTTTTAAACAAATGGAATAAAACTAATGTTGTTTTGTATAACCCTATATAACCCTTATTCCTATTGTTTTTATTTTGTGTTTTGTTTATTTGTTTAATTTGAAAGTAAAAAGTTTGAAAATAAGTGTTAAACTTAACTTAATTATATATATATATATATACTTCTAAGCATTCTTTGCACTTGGACCAAAACTTATATGTTCCAAAACATTCCTTCTGAGGTGGAGACGGAAACATGACAATGTTTGTCCAATAGAAGAGGCTTGACTAGCAGGAGCATATAAATTCAAGTAGGTTTAGTCATCAAACCAGACTCACATATCAACCACATCAAGTGTAACAGCAGGTAATGACTTTATATTGCTAAAATTCCTGTGATTGTCTTTTATCATCTTTATGTGCTTAGGTATATGTGAAAACACTGATCACAGTTAAATACATTTTCTGTCAATATATAATGCAGTTAGATGATGGAAACTACTATCTAAAGTAAAATATTTACTGTTTCATGAGTGAATACCTCATCTATTTTGTTCCTTTTAGATTACTGGTGTGTGCTGAACAGCAACTTTTTACAAAATGTTGCATCTTATTCTGGTTCTCTCTGGAGTTACAGTGGGCATGGCCATGCGTAAGTATTGCTCACCACAACGTGGTACATTATCAAACATGCAAAACAATGTTGCAAATAAATGACTGTTGGAAAATTGAAAATGAAATTAAATTTACTATTGAAAGGTTTATTTTAAGATAGAGCTGTTATTTCCTCTTTTAGCTTTACTGGATTACTACTCTTACTCCACGGCTGTTGGGGACGGCAGTGGGACTGAATATTCCACTGCATATGATGGTCGCGTCACTGGTATCAGAGTCTGGGAACACAGTAACGCGTATATTCGTGGGTAAGTTAACCAGTTCACCACTGATCATTCCTCTGGACCAACAGAGTGAAAAAAGTGAATATGATATGCTTTAAAATATTCTTGTGGCTTGATCTTGAAAAGTCATTTGCATTGTGTGTTCTAATTCTTCTGCATGTTATTCTGTGACCATCTTTTCAAACACTTTCATCAAATATCTGTTCAGAATCCAGCTGCGTTATGATGGTAACTGGACAACACCGGTTTGTACAAGCAATGGCAATCCACTGGAGATGTCATTTCGTGACAATGAATCCATCATTCAGGTTTCTGGAAAACATTACAGTGGCTACATCTATGAGCTTATGTTTGTCACTAGTCGAGGCCGCTCTTTAAAAGTGGGGCAGCCTTATGGAAACTCATTTAACTTCTACCCGACCAATGATGGAAGTGAGCTACGTTTTCTCA